AGAACAAATTTCATAGGTAGACATGGATAATTCTGAAAAATATGCAAATATTATTACAATCATATTTAATAATTTGGGTATTGTAAATGAAAACAACTTCCACATTTGAGGAAGTCTAACAGCTTATATTTGATTTAAGACTTATTCATTCAATAAATCAGGTCTTTGTCTTATATCAGGCATTTTGAACTACAGATTACTAGAGTCAATTACTACCATCTAGTAACAAAAGCAATTTCCAAATTAAATTTGTTGACATCAAATATGTCAGTAGAAAAATGTTATCATCTTATAAATATTCTGAATGAATTATTGTTCTGTTTCAGCTGCCAAAATTACAAGTCATTCTCTGTTTCTATATCCTTATTGTTTTATTTCCTGAGAATTGAAAAAGTTTTAGAAATAGCTAAGTCACACTTGAGTAGGAAAGTTCTGTGCATCAATTTTCTCTAATGCCAAGCTATGTAAATCTACCTAAAATTGGCTTTTGACAAAAAAATAAAAAAAGAGTCTTCAGAGAATATTTATGAATGGACTCTGGGAATGGAGAGTATAGAACATGTGATCAGGTTAAAATCCTACAGAACAGCAATGGCAATATACATATATTTTTCAAAAATTGCTCCACTAGCAGAAAATTGACATCTAAATCACTCTGCCTCATGAGGAATATAATACAAAAATTGTAAAAGAAATGCTTTTAAAAAGTAATTTGCAGATAACATCTCAAATAGAATGATGATAAAATTAATCCCACAAGTTTAATTTCAGGACTATTTGATTCTATCATTGTTTAAATATTTAGGATACACATGTATATTGATATATACTATTTTGAATCCAAGTAGAATATTTATGTTCTACAGTTTTTAACAACTCAACCTTTCATGCCCAACTGCCTACTTTCTTCATGGAAGTGCCCAGGTTTAGGGGAGAGTGAAAACTAATTATCCTTGCTAAGGCTGAGTAAGCTTGGTTACTAAAATGATTTGGCCAACTGATTGAGCTGACCTACCCAAAGAGTGATTTAAAAAAAAAAATCACTAAACAGAGAACAGTTCCTCACCAAAGAAACCCCAATCTCATACCCTCCAGTGAGCAACAAGAATGGGTATGTTCTGCTGCAAGCTAAATTTTCTGAGGTTAGGTATGGCGCTCTGAAGTATGCCTAGAAGGTTTAAATATGGAAATGAGAGCACGGGCCTAAAACACCATAGACCATACAGACTGGTCCCAAACCATCTTTTGCCACCACTTTTTCAGCAGTTCTTAAGTGAAGAGTAAATGAAGGCTGCTCTCAGAGCTGTTGTCTATCTTTCCAGACTGTTGTTTATGTATGAATAGCAAGTTGCAATTAGTTGCTATAAAAATGCACCATGTCATTAATCTCAATCTTATTTTCTATTTTAGTTTTTTTCACTGAAGTCCAGAGCAAGCCCATCTATTCCTCACTTTTATATAAACTTTCAAGAAATGCATTTGCTCCTTTAGGAATCTTAGAAAATAGTAAAGTGGCTATTCATCACTGGAGAAAAAAATTTTGAAATATTTTAAAGCACTCCCTCCCCAACACATGTTGATCTCTTACGTTAATGGGAGAAAAGGAAAGTAAGGCTCATGGTATTTTTAAAGAGAGCTATTATGTAACATTTCAATGATAGCAAAGTGGAGGCAATTATGAACTTGGTAAATATTAATAGTTTTAAAGTAAAATAATGGCATTCCAGATTTTCTATAAACTAGCATATCTTTAAAACCAATAATAATCAGATATTTATAATAACTACACAAGCATGTAAATGACCACTAACTTATGCTGAATATTCAGTGCTTTAAATTATCCAAGTAATCAAATTTGATATAATCATCTATATTGATTCATACATAGACTAGCTTTCAATGGGAAACTCAAAATTTTTATTTATTTAGAATAATACAGAATAAAAATAAACTTAGATTCTGCTACTATACTTTCCAGCCTATAGCTCACAAGCCAGATATCTCAGGAGGTAGGCAGATACCTGAACACATACATAAACAAGCGATAACTCAGTTTTTTTTTAGAAAAATTTTGGACACCGAAAAAGAAGGCCTTTTGCTGATCTTGATTTTGAGAGCATATACAGCTAGACATAAATCACCATTGTTTAAATATACAATAGGTCAGATTGCTTACAAAATAAACCCTACTATGTTTAAAAACTATATCAAATAGCAATATTTGCTTTATGATAATTTGAAAATTAAACCAATATTAAGTAAAAGAATGCAACAAGTGCCAATCAAATATGAAAAAGACTTAAAATCAGAGGACATTAATCATTTATTCAATAATAATTGTATTTAAATCAAAGCACAACACTTAAAAATTACTTGGTATTTAATTTATAGCTACATGTTAGCTGCTTGGAAATATGACAGTTGTTTATCTCATAAAAGAACAAAGCACTGCAGTTAATTCCATGGGAAACATCTTACAAATGCATTACAAATTGTAATTAATTTTTAATGTTCAAGATTTGTTGTATTAATGAAATGAAAAAATACTATTATCAGCAGTTTACATGAAACGCATCTCCTTTTATTTTAACACATACTTTCCCCCAAACAACAAAGGTTGGTGTCCCACATGCTTGTCTTATCTACTTCTGTTACTGCAAATCCACGATCATCCCACACAGGCTAATCTTTTATGGCAGAGGTCACTGAAGTTGTGCCAAAATTCAATAATTATGTTCAATCTAATGTGGCCATACATTTATCTCATTGCTGGAATTTAAACCATTTCCAACAAAGCATTTCATTTCAGTGATTAAACGCTCATCAAAAATGCCCCATTGTAAACATTTCTCACATTTCTAAAATTGTGAATAAAATACTGCAGTTATAAAGCTTTCTTTTCAATACGGAATTAAAGTAGATACTTAATTATTTAAAGTCTCTTTTAATTAGGGAAAAGAAAGCATTTTATGTGCCTGTTGCATAATTGAAACAAACAAAAACCCTGTCACATTTAAAATGGTAAAGGCCCATAATCTAAATTGACAACTACAAAGGAATTCCACTTTTTCTGAAGAGTGAAAAAGTTTCCACACTGTAAAATGGAATAGGTTTTAATATTTACAGAAGGGTGGGAATATGATGAATGAAGTAAATTCTTCAAGCTATTTTTCACAAATGGAATACATTTAACAAACATATTGATTTTTTTAAGTAATTTTATTCAGAATATAGTTTTTAAAATGCCAACTCAATGAAGAAAATGTTTTCAGTGCTTTACATTTATGGTCCCAGGGAAAATTAGCTAATAATTCTTCCAAAAGCCTACACTATTGAAATACTCAATTATAATTCATAGCTGTAACAAAAGAAAGTAAATTTCTTACCTTTTTCAGTAAAGAGTATAATGTACATTATTCTCAATACTTACTTGTTTCTACCTCAACTCAAAACTATTTGCCAGGAATTGTGAACAATTAAGTTTCTTCTGAACTCACAAACTAACATATCTGTTTACTCTGAAAGTTCTAAATGTCCTGACATTTACTTTGCTATAGTCTCTAATTGACCAAAAAAGAAAAATTTCAGTTGAAACATCATCTCTCAGTGTATTTTAGGGAGATAGCCGACCTTAAAATAAGTAAAATATTTGATAAAAATAATTTAAAAAGTGAAAACAGATGAAAATATGCATATGGGAACTAAGATTAAAATAAAAATAGAATGCAAAAATAATTTTGTAAGCAAGAATAATGCTGAATAAGACACGCTATCTTATTTTTCCTGCACCTGTTTGATAACAACAAATGATAAAATGTTTCCATTTTTATCCAAATTTTGAAATATCTACCTTATACATTAACTCATTTTTTAAAAAATACCAAGTATTATATTAAAAGAGAATTCAACTGTGTACTCACATAGATATATGTATAAAACTTATCCAGGTGCATTTTGGTAAGGAGCAGATATATATTTATTTGCTCTTTCCCATTTTATAACATCTTTGTATTTTAATGTTGACTGATATGATAATTTCAAACTCAAGCAAGGTATAGACAGTATCAATTCAGTTCACAGCAATACCAAAAATATTTTATATACACATAAATTATATATATACCTAAATTGATCTGAAGGAAATCAAGATGTATTCTCTAATGCTAAAATTTGCTTAAAGTTAATTTTCACATTTCTTTATGACCCAAGTTAGCAACATTTTACTTTGTATAATAGTAGAGGGAAGATAAACATAGTGAGAAATATATGTAAAATATACCTACGAAGACAGCTTTAATTCATCCTTCCTTAAAAGAGAATAAATCAGGTGTTCATCAATATTTTAAAGAGAAATATGATTATTTTAAAGTAAAAAATAAAGTTTCAGTCTAGATTAACATTGACAAAAATATAAAGCAAGGTAGTGTTTAGAATATGGTAATAAGATTTCTTAAAAATAACAACAGAGTAACCGAGATCCTATTTTTCTGCTTTTAAATATACCGCACTCTATTTTTTAATGAATAAAGATACTACAGAAAATAAGTATATAAAATCTGAGGTTGTTAATATCTGATTACTATAGCATTTCATGGCAACATGTGAATTTAACTCTTAAAATACTGAAGTATAAAATAACATATCGGCTTGCATGACAAAATTCAGTTAGAGTAAAATTAACAGCTTTAAAATTACATGTAAGTGCCTTTGAGCTTTAGAATTTCTTTCATGAAAAATCATCTTTTCATGGCAAAACAGCAATTAAATACAACTATTTAAACGTCAATATAGCAAACATGTCTATTAAAACATTTGTTAGAAATAACATCAAAGTGTTAATACATTTTTATAATTACATAGTAAATATTAACATTTTTAGAAACCCAAACACCATATTTGAAATATACAAAAATCCCAACTGAAAAATGTTAAGTTTGATTGTTCACACAACAAAAGTTCTAGAAAACTTCATTACTTACTGTTCACAGGGTATTACTTACAGAGATTAACAGTTTTAAGAATTCATCTGTTATTTATCCTGAAGTGTTTTTAAATAACCCTTTCGTACTGTATATATCTCAATGAGATAACCATCCCTACTCTGTTCTGCTGAAAAAAACAAAAAAATCAGTAAATCTTCTTCTTTAAGGTTGTTCTTGCTCTGACGTACTTTAGGTGACCACAAGCAGGAATTCATAATAACAAAAGCTACAGTACCAGGAACATTTTTTTAAAAAATTCTTGTTTCATATTTACTGTATAAAGTCATTTTGACATGCCTACACAACTGGTTGTGGCAGTTTTCAGACATGATTTCTAATAAAAATAAAAAAAAAAATTGCTCCAGGTTCTTTAAAGAAAGCTTGCCGCTGGGAAGTTGATTTTGGCCAAGTGCCAAAATCATGTGCAAAGGGGCCTCATTAGGGATTCATGGCAGCCTTCAGCACTAACAAAAAATGTGACCCAACAGGCTAAATCAGTGACTAAAATTAAAAAGTAAGAGACAAAGACAACTTACTTAATATTCCTTCCAAAGCAACATTAAACTTTTTTTGGTAATTAAACCCTTGTTAGTCTAATGCAGTGTTCCTCTCTCCTCAAATGATTGTACAATTACTCTTTAAAACTTGTCAATTTCCCTTCTAAATACACTTTCTTTCTGTGGCAGTTTACAAAGATTTTGCTATATAATAAAACTCTATATCTACTGCAATGCATTCAACAGCAGGAAAGAAAATTGTAAAAATGCAGACTACAGGATTCTCTTCAGATTTAAACAAACAAACAAACAAAAATAAGCAAACAACAGTCAGTACCTTTTAAACTTCTACAAAAGTGAAGACGCATGCTCCAAACTCATGTAGGTTGTGAGGAATCATGCTCGCTCCCCACTTTGCCCCCCCAAAAAGTAGATTTGATAGGTAGCCTTACCTAGAAGTCTTCTGGCTTTTCTGCAGATCAAAAAGTTTCCTGCCTAAGCACACAGATATTCTTTCACGAACCATAAAGGCCCTTTTATGAATCCAACACTGTAACAGGCAGCTTTCCACACCACGTTGAGAGCCCGGTGCGTCAGCTCTCAAGATAAAATACATTGCTAACACACAATCAGTGGGAGAGGTTGTCTATTGGAGAATATCGTAAGGAAAGAAGAAGAAAAAAAAGGTTTCTTTCTTTCTTTCTTTTTTGCAAAAAGCAAGCAAAAGAGGGTGCGGTCAGATGTTAGGTTTTTGCCTGAGAAAAGGGCCCTACACGGCACTAGTACCTAAATACTAGCAGAAGCTGCCTGGGAAGAGAGCCAATGGAAGGACTTTGTTTGACCCAGCTGCCAATCTCCCCTGAAGCCTGCGCCAGACTAAACACTCACACTATTTTAACTCAAATCAGGCTACAGCAGCTGTTTGCTTTCCGGCTCTGAGCTCTGCACCCACCATGGCCTGTGCAGTTCACCCCGCGAGCTCTGCTAGCTGCCTGGCTGAAATCTGCTCCGGGTTGGGATTTGTCACTGGAGACTAGATTTTAACCCTATTCCTTGTGGTAAATATGGGCTGTTTGTTGTTCTGCATTTAGTTCTGGTAATTTGGGATACATTTATGATCCTTTTAAAGAAGAGGGATGTTTTATGTCATGGGAGGAGAATTGAGGCTGGAAGGTAACAAGGATGTATAATATCCTTTGAAATTCTAACCTGAACTCTTCTGATGTGTTCAAATGAACACTAAATTAACCCTTGTATGTAGCAACTGCAAAGCCCCTACCATACACTTGAAAGAACAAAGTTGGTACCCCAACCCAAGCTCCTTCAACCCTAGCAAGATGGAAAGTTGGCATCACAGGACTAGAGAGACTCATGTCATTGTAAAAGGTAGAACCGACTACTTAATGCTCTAGAAAGTTCCTCCAGAAGCCACACCTAAGCACACAAATAGTTTGTTTTGCTTATATGAAAACGTACCAAGTGGCCCAATTTACCTTTCTTAAATGTTTAGCTCATTAAGCTACTAAGCTGAGTATAAAAATCATACCCTGAATTGTAAAACATTAAATTTTGCCCATTGATAGTCTCAAGTAGAAAGGAAACCAAAGAGAAATTAGTCAGGGGAAGTACAATTTAAATAATAATCAAATTTATCTGATGTAGCAGAGAGAAGGATCCGGTAACTAAGACCTACTGCACACCAGATAAGAGCCAAATACTGCACATGTGGAGAAAATAAATCAGTAAGTCATTCAACATGTGGATGAAAGAAAGAATTCCAGAGAACTATGATAACATGGAATAACTATAACTATAAACAAGTTATTCTTACTCCTGACCAAATTCCTACTTATGGACAGGGAGGGTGATGGTGAGAGGAGACGGCATCTTTTCATTTACAGGTTTTAGTTTCTGTTGTTCCACTCGGGTAGAAAGATGCTTCTTGCCCTGACCAGTTTGGCTCAGTGGATGGAGCGTCGGCCTGCGGACTGAAGGATCCCAGGTTCGAGTCTGGTCAAGGGCATGTACCTTGGCTGCGGGCACATCCCCAGTGGGGGGTGTGCAGGAGGCAGCTGATCGATGTTTCTCTCTCATCTATGTTTCTAACTCTCTATCCCTCTCCCTTCCTCTCTGTAAAAAAATCAATAAAATATTAAAAAAAAAGAAAGATGCTTCTTCATTTAGTGCAAATGGCCGGTAAGACTTTTTTTTTAACATAACTAATTTGGTTCACACTATAATTAGAAGATGAGGAAAAAAAGTTTCTGAAATACTAGAAAAGTATATCCAGGAATTTTTTTCAAAAAGTTGTTTCTTCTGCTTTAAGGAGAGAGTTTACTTTTTCTTATTCCTGTTCACCCCACCCTCCAACAATAATATGTCTGTTTTCTTATCTCAGAAACTAGAGCTCTAAATTAGAAAAGTTGTAATTTTATAATAAAATTTTATTTCCTTAAATAGGTAGTGACAAAGATGGCTATAGAGAGGTTGACCATTAGGTTTAATGGGTGCCCATAAACTGAAAGACACAATTCATGAAAAAAAAATCATGCCAAGATAATATTGCTTGACAGGTGAGTTATTACCCTTATTCTGAAAGTAATACTTGTATAAACCCAAAGGCTTCTCATTGGATCTGGCTTCCTACCTAGTAGAGTAGGGTTACATGTTCAAAACTTTAAGGAAGCCAAATGCTGGGAAATGGTTTCTTTTGAGCCCTTCACTTTCTTTTTTTAAAATATATTTTATTGATTTTTTACAGAGAAGAAGGGAGAGGGACAGAGAGTTAGAAACATCGATGAGAGAGAAACATCAATCAGCTGCCTCTTGCACACTCCCTACTGGGGATGTGTCCCCAACCAAGGTACATGCCCCTGACTGGAATCAAACCCGGGACCCTTCAGTCCGCAGGCTGACACTCTATCCACTGAGCCAAACCAGTCAGGGCTGAGCCCTTCACTTTCAACCCAAGAAAATATTCAGCACGTTTCTCTGAATGGTCTATTACAATCTAACAAGCAAAGCATCACCTATGGCCACACTACTACTTCAACACCTGCCGTAGCTACAAAATGGCGGTCCCATAGTCCCATAGCTTCATCTCAGTAATTACATCTCTTCCACTGCATTCTGCACCCCTCCCTTCTCCCTAGACAGCATGTGCAAAGCAGTTTGTTCACATCATGAGTGTTTATGTGCCGACCTGTGTTTTCCTTCCCTCAAATCCATATTTTGAATCTCAACTCCAAGTATCTCAGATTAGGTCAGTAAATGGAGACAGAAACCTTAAAGAGATAAGTTTGTTAAATGAGGTGGTGAGCGCAGGGCCTAATCCAGTCTGGCCAGTGCCCTTACAAAGAGATCAGGCTAGAGATACACACTGACCGAAGGTCATAGGAAGACACAGGGGAGAAGAAGACCATAAATAGCCAAGGAGAGACGTTCAGAAGAAACTGACCCTGCCCGCACCTTGTTCTTGAACATTTAACTGCCAGACATTTCTGTTTTTTAAGCCATCCATTTTATGGTATGTCATGGCAGCCTGAGCAAATTAATACAACGTCTAAGTACAAAAAAGTGAAAAATTATCTTATTTTGGAATACAATTTGTTTCTACACTCAGGTTTTGATTTTCTCTAAGAAAGCATATAATTTATGAAGTATATGTTATTCACATTTTCCAGAAAAAAAGAAAAACTGTATGTATGACAGATTTTTACATAAAAATCATACAAGGTGTTAAAAATGAGGGAAAATATAACGCAGTTGCCACTCTCCCATGGCACTACTTATTTTCATACTGTGAGCAGGAATACTGTATTTACATCATCGTATAACATATAATAAAAGTGTATGTGCACAACTAATGTGCATATATTTGAAAAGAATTATGAAATAAATAGGTGTCTAGCTTTTCCTTTAGGACAAAAAAATATGGTATGGTCCTGGCCAGGTTGCTCGGTTGGTTAGAGTGTCATCCTGATGCACTAAGGATGAGGTTTGTTCCCTGGTTAGGGTACAAGCAAATGAATAAGTAGAATAAGTAGAATAACAAATTGATGTTTCTCTCTCCCTTCCTCTCTCTTTCAAAAGTCGATAAAAAATAAAATTCATTTAAAAATGGTATGTAAATTCTTGATTTTGCAAGATAGTTTGATGCATGGACAATTTACAATCAAGTTCTGGCACTAGATAAAATTTTATATCAAAAGTTGGAAACAAAAAGTTAAATAGTTGTAAGGGGCGAGATCAAATAATATTTACAAAAGGAAGGACTCTAAAAGAAGGAAAAAAAATGTGTCTTTCAAGAAAGTCTAACGTAAGTAAAATGAGACTGAAGGTAATCAAAGATAAAGCAAGTCAAAGTATTAATTAGAATATCCCTAAGATAAACCATATTTACCCAGATAATTAAGAGATGGACACTTCACTTACATGAAGTTGGAGGCAGCAAGATAATGGAGGGAAATAGATTAAAGTAGGAATACCTTTGCTGTTGTGGTACCACAGCAGCAAAGATGGGCCCCAAGACTCCCACTCTGGTATACACTTGAATACATACTTCAAGCAGAAATTGGGAGGATGCTGTGAATATGATGAGGTAGTTCTGTTGATTAAATTATCAATCTATATGTAAGAGTTGGTGAGATCTCCATATAAATTTACTAGAGGGAGGAGGAAGAAGCCAATAGTAAAGTATGGTGATACACCTGAACAAAAGAGGTAAGCAAAAGGTATTGAAATTACCACTGCAATGAGATATTGTTTTACCTAGCAACAACTCCCACCGAC